AGGTGTGTGTGCAACACGAGTGTTTTGAGTGGTACAAAACAACCCTGTAAGACAAGTCGTGGCTCAACAAGCCAGCCACTGCGGCTGGCTCGGGTGCGCCCAGGGGCCCAGGCTTGAAGGTCCAGGCTCTGGAAGAGAAAGTTGTTCGGGACGAAATCGTCACCGGGGGTTGGCGACTGGGGACATCGTGGTGGAGTTTAATTGGCACTACGAAAGGCCTTTCCTCAACGCCAACGGAAGATCGCACGCGTCTCGTCCCTCGCGTTCGTTTGCTCCACGGGGACCGCTGTTCCCCCACAGTGCACTACTCATTTCTCTTTTTTTCTTTAAAAGAAAAGAGAATTGAGAGAAAATTGTTTCGTTACTTTTTACCGACCTAGCATTATCAAATTCTGGGCAATAGACGTACACCAAAAAATAATGACGTGTTGACCATAAATATAATCGCTCTCTCGCCCTCGCTGCGGTTGTCGGAGAATAAAACTCTACCTCACCTCAGGGTATATAACTGATTGAATCACAACTCTATTTGCGTTGCAGCACTCCTGCGCGCCCTCCTGCCAGCCGGCTCCACTCGCCTGCCTTTCGCTCGTCAAGAAATTCCTGCTAGGAAAGCAAGCGTCACATCGTTTGTGCAGTAGCGATAATAATCACGGGAGTTTCAGGGGCTGCTGCATATGCAAAAGGGTGGAGCTTATTGTAAGGGCGAGAAAGGGAGAGTAAGATTAGAACGATGAACATGGGGAAGGGGAGCATGGAAGGTTGGTTAAGCTAAGTTTAGATTCACTTATCGGGCAGCGCTGCATGCATCGGTATGATTAATTCTGTACCTGATTTTTTGCCACTCATTACTGGAATATTCGACCAGGCTTGGATGGGAAGAAAATGCACTGTAAATTCGTGTTCCATCGCAGTTATGCGGAAAACCATCGAAAATTTGGTACAAAAGGATTTGCGGCTTTTCGAACTAATACAGTTTTCTCTGTTGTGTGTAAACGAGGCCGGTTGCTGTGATTTGATGTGTTCTTTTTATGCAATGGCCAAGACGCAGAGACTTTAATTCTCTTTTCATCTGGCCTCTTCAGTCTTATTCACCGGATGCGAATGAATACCTTTTCTAAGACATCCCTTTTGCCTCACTCCTCTTGAAGCCCGAGGCTAGGCAGTCAGCAATAATAATTCTCATTTCTGGCACTTCGCCCTTCTGTTTGTTACACATCTATCCACTGATACCCTCCAGATTGAGTGAATAACTGTTTGTACTATTTTCATTTGGGTCCGCACATCCGGGGGCTCCACACGGTAAAAAGAATGTCTTGAAATCCCAGGAAATTTCTGGGATTTCAAGGTTGGGTGGATAATTTCAAGATTGGCCCTTAATCCCAGACTCTGTCTTGAAACCCGTAGCTTCCAAGGGAAATCCTTGGAATTTTCGTCTGGTATTCAAGGGTTTTCCTTGAAGTATCCAGATCGTGCTTCAAGGAAAACCCTTGAATACCAAACAAAGCTACGGGTTTCAAGGCAGAGTCTGGTATTTCAAGGGCCAATCTTGAAATTATCCACCCGACCTTGAAATCCTAGAAATTTCCTGGGATTCCAAGACATTCTTTTTACCGTGCACTTTCCCTCCCACACATGTAGGATTATTACGTCTTTGGAATTTTAATAGATTCAAAACAAAGTCAAGAAAAGGCAGGATTGCGTTTAGTCAAAACCGCAGAATTTTTAGTAGTTTACGCAGGCTTGTCGTAAAATTTTGCTGGTTTGTAGTATTTTTTAAATTGTTGCACATTGTCGCTTTATTAGGTCGTACTTTGCATTGCATTTTTCGGGTACGGCAGACTGTTATTGCTATAGGGTTCGTGACATGACTGTTGTGGCCCAGTAGGGCCTGCGGTACCCGTATCCGCACTGCTCGTTTACAAACGGTGGCCGGCCAGTTCTGTTGCTGCGCGCGCAGTTCGAACCAACTGAAAATTGTTTCCTAGCCTGTAGGTCGGGCCGGGCGCCACCAGGCTGGAAACAGTCTGGTGGCCCGGAGCTGTCTGGTAAGCCTGCAGGGGCACGGTGGGGCACGGAGGGGCCCCCAGCGGCACGGCATTCCACTCCGGAAGGCAACGGGCAGCGGGTCCGGAGGGGACCGGAGGCACCCGGGGTGAGATAGGGACCAATGGGATGTATTTACGGAAATTATACGGCTTGCTAAAACAGGGCCGGGTTCAGCGAGATCCCACGCGCGTTTGAAGTGCGAAACTACTTTGGGTCGTGGTGGGAAGAAGGTGGGCGGGGTACGTAGAGGGGCACCAGGGGGGAAGAAAAGGAGGGGCGTAGGGCGAGTGTTGCGCGTGCGGATAGTTTGGGAAGGGCGCGGCGCACACTGGAATGGTTGAGAAATTTGTGAATAGTTTAGTCTTTTTAAGAGGAAAGGAATTTGAGTGCGCTGAGGTCGGTGAGAGTGCGGTACCAGGTAAAAGCCTACCTGCCCCCGGGAGAGGAATGCCGAGGTGGGAGGTGGGGGGTTGTTCTGGCTGTGGTGGGAAAATTCCTCAGAAAAAGAAAAAAATCTAAGTGCTGTTTCCGTTGCCCCCCCCCCTTTTTTTCCCTTTCCTGATTTTTTTTTGTTCGCAGCGGACGACTGCAGATCCATGTCCATCCCAGATGAAGACGGCTGGGTACGTTCCGCGAATACCTTGCCAGCCTAGCTGCGAACGGAACCACACTTTGCCACGACACCGCTCACCCACCATCAACCACCTCGCCCCACCCTCTGCTCCTTCTCGACATCTACGCATCCACCTCTGCGCGGCGCGGGTAATTAGTTATAGGCGGTGTCAATCTCAGGCATGACGCTCGCGGGACTCAAAGTTCCGCCGAGTATCAGGCACGCACGACTGCACACGCTAGGATTTCTGCTGAAGTGCACATCTGAGGCATAGAGCGGAGTGCACCGACCGAAAAAGTAGTACTCACTCGTCTGTGTTCGGGTCACCCCCCCCCCCTTTACCACTCTCTCACTGACAGGAAAAGGCGCGGCACGTACTTGTACGCACTTGCCTGATGAAATTATTGTACTGATTAGTGAGTACTGTAAGTGTACACAATTTTAAGGGCCTAAGTGCTGTAGCGTTTAACAAACGTGTAATCTCATGGGTACTGCAGTAGTAAAAGAAGTACAACGATCATGTACCTCACCCTCGACCTCACCCCTACAGACTCACTTTTAATTTGTTGTACTTTATTACAATATTTTTAACAGTGCTCTCTCTCTCTCTCTCTCTCTCTCTCTCTCTCTCTCTCTCTCTCTCTCTCTCTCGCGCGCGCGCCCGCAAGGACACTTATCCTGAGTAGCCATCTGGACCCCGCCATGCGCCCCTATCGTGCCGGCCATTCGGTTCCTCGGAACCATACTGGTTTCAGTAGAAGATTGGCCAATCGGCTAGGCGTTTGAATTGGAGGGGGAGAGGGGTCCTTGGGAGGTTTGCTTTGGCCATATTGCGTGCTGAGGGCGGCACGCCCGCGGGGTGGTTCAATCGTATGGGACCTGCTTGCTCCCCTCTCCGGTTGTGTTGGAGAGTGCGTCACGTTATGGCGCACCATCTAATGGAGCTCCATAGAAATATGGGTTTGTTTGAGAAAGCGCGTTCGCCCGCCCATTTTTGTGTGGGAGTGCGCGCGCGCTCTACAAGATCTAGAGATATCTATGTTGGCTTACCAACAGCGTTTGGTCGGGTCTGCTACCCGATCTCTAAACACCTCTGCATCAATTTCTCGGAGCCGATTTTTATACACGGCCCCTACTTTAGGCGGCGCTTCGATTTTTTAAGATAAATTCACCCAGGAAATTTTTTCTTTTGTGTGACCTTCACGTGAGGTCATAGCCGCCACGCTGGAGCTCGCCGGACTGGAGGGCATTTGGAGGTTTTGGCTTCCGGTGTGAGCGTTTTAAAAACATTCTTCGAAAACAAACTGTGCTGCAGTCCTCCCGCTCTACCGCGTTATCAGTGGCCTCCTCGCAGACACGCCACGCCGGCCGCATGGCGAGGGCGCCTCTCAACAGTTTTGCGCACGCACGTTTATTCTAGCGCCGCATTTCGACGCAGCCGTGTGGCGAGCTCATACATTAGAAGACTTGATCCATCGCTCATGACTGCCAGACCATAGAGAGCCACGCCTTCCGCTCACGCGAGCCCGAGCTACGAGGATTGCCCTACTTGGGCACTCTAAAAATCCAACGGTAGGGGTGCGGTTTGCGGCCCGATACATCTGCTGTAGCTGAGTTCGATCTCGATAATTTTCTTTTATTCAACGTTGATTTTCGCTTAAATGTTGTTTAAGTAGTTTGGCCCCAAACTGTGTTTCAGTGTCTGATATTGTAATATCACAAGATGACAGATTTAAAAGTAAAACCTCAGTCTTACTGTCAAAACTTTTGTATCTCAAAGTTCACAGATTAAACTGCTGCATAACGTTTTAACTTTCGTTCCTTTTACTGTTGCAGTTAAACAGTGTTTAAAGTTATAACTGCCTTGTTATACAGAGTGCTTTGCAGAAGCAGATCGGTGTAAAGAAACCCTAAAAAATCGGGTTCAGCAAACGCGTTTCTGCAAACTTACAGTGAGTGCACTCTACGTCACATATCTCCAGAGAAAATTCTCCATCTCAACACAACAGGGTGGAGAGCAAGAAGTAGGGGGGGGGGGTAGCCTACTGTGTTGTACTACTGTCGTTTACGCACGGCCCGTAGTTACGGTATTTTCTTTATAACCCGTTCCTATGGTTGCGGGACCATAAATTCATGTTTCCTTTAAGATTTCAACAGGCATACTTGTAACGCACTTTAAGGCTGGCACAAAGTCGCCTGGTGACCGAAAACTCACCCCTTTTGTTTACTAGTTTTCCTCTCTGCGCGAGTAGACCGAAACCATTTTAATTAAGGGCATGCCCTTGTCGTATCTCGCTGCCACTTTGCTTCGGAAAATGGAAAATCAACTGACTTCTTTGGAGTATCGTCAAAATCTCCACGCGCTGCCCGCCAAACTTTGTCAGTGTACCTACGTCAAGAGGGCACAGACCGCAAGGGCCGATGGGCGGGCGGACGAGCACCTGCCTGCGACGACCACAGTGCCGAATGGCCGAAGTGTCGCGAGGAGAGCGGACCGAATACCGTAGCTCTCTCGGCACCAGGAGGCTGCGATTGATCCCGAGTACTTCTTGGAGAGGCAAAAGGGGGAGGTGGGGAGAGTGGCCTCAAATCGCGGTTGTAGGGCTGTGGACCCGGGCTTTTGGCAATTTGTTCAGCCAAGTCCCTCCCCCCTCCTCTCTGCGAACCCCATACGGTCCCCATGCACCAAGGCCGCCATGAATCACTTGACTTCTGTCCTCCCCTGATTGTGTGTGGCTTCCTTATCTCTTCGCCGCGTCGACGGAGGGGGTGGTCGATGGGCCAATGGACTTTGGTGTCACGGTCGTTGGTCAAAGCCGGTCAAAGCGAGTGGAAAGAAAGGGGCCTTGTGGTGCTATTTGCAAGGCCGTGCCAGTGTCTCCTTCAGATGTCGTCTGACCTTTCAGTGGACAAATAAGGTCCCGACAACGTCTGGGAGGTGGGAGTTGTTTGGGATCACACTTCTCGAAATACTTCATGATATTATGGTTCACATTTATTTATGTGCAGATAAATAAATGTGACTAACTGAGTTGGACAGAACATCGGTCTACGATTGCGTTCGGCTCTAAGGTGAGAATGCCTTTGCTCTCTGCGCCCATCACGTACCGCGATGCCGCCCCCTGCTCTCATTTCCCTTTCTTTTATTTCTTTCCGCCTCGCCTTGAACGCGCTCTGGAGCGGGGCACTCTCGCTTGCCAAGACGTTTCTCTGCGCTCCGAACCTATCCTCGGCCCCGCGCTCTTTTAAGGGCGGTCTTGCCGAGAGGCGCTGAGGCGCGCGGGGACGTTTGGTGGTGGTGGTGGTGGGGGGGGGGGAGATTGCAGGGGCCGGCCGCCAGAGAGCGCGCGCGCGCCACGACTGGCGACCGGAAATGAAATAAAACTACGAGGGGTGGGGTGGGAGGGGGAAAGTTTGGAGGGCTATGCGTCGGGGTGTGTCCGTGCCGTCCGTGCTGCGGGGAGGGGAGCGCACGCAGTGGTGTCGTGTGCTCAGCGCGGCGCGGCTGCTTTGCAAACCCCTGGCCCCGGCCACGAACAACCCCCTGCCCTGCTTTGGTCAGCTGGTTTGCCCGTCACCACCACCTTTCCCGCCCCCTCCTCTCACTCCACGGCCCCGCTTTGCGCGCCCACAGTCGTCATGTCTCACCCGAGCTGGTTCGAGGGGATGAGTTATTCGCCGTAGGTAATGCACGTGTCGTGTCCTAGAACCATGGTTCTGCAAAGCGCATGCCCCGCTCTCGTGGTTGCGACTCGCTCCAGTTTGTGCGCTTCAAGCTCGGCAAAGGTCGCCCGAGGGTAATTTTGCGTATCCGGAGCAGGCCAATTGTCAGTACTCAACAGGTTTCCCTCCGGGTAGCCCGGGCTCTCGACTCCAGGGACATGTGCTAGAGAGCGACTTACACAATAAGTTGGTCAAAAACAAAGCCAAGGAACGCGGGGAACAAGAAAACCACTTTACAAATCTAAGAGTAAAAATATGAAAAAAGCCCTTTTCAGTTATGTAGTTTACACTGTAGCACTAGTGCTAATTTAGTTTTGCAGTTTAAACTAAAACTTGTTCGTTTTCCATTATTAACGTTAAACTCTTTTCCAGTTTCTCAGTTCAAACTGCAATGATTTATTCTTGCAGTTAAAACTGTTATCTTGTTTATTGACATGAAGAGCATCGTGGTTTCTGTTTTTTTGTTCCCCGCATTTGTCTTCATTTTAGCTTCCCGGAATGGTTTATTACGTAAGTTCAGCGCCTGCGATCCCTAGCGCCTGCAAGACTCGGGATAGGCCAGCCCGCCGTACATGCACGTACTGCAGACGCGATGTTGCCTTCCCATCAGGCGCTCTGAAACAGAGGTGTGCGCTTTGTGCACGTAAGTTAAAACCTTGCCGGCTGCAAGAGAAACACCGGTGACACCTGTCACAAGGCAGCGCGAGCAAGATTTGGCCTGGCGCGCACAACTCTGCTCTAAAAGCTTGCTGAAGCTGAAGCTGAACTTCGCAGGTTATCACCTTCTTGATGATCCTTTTATATAAACTACATGGTCACACGAAAAAAATAGACTTTTTTGTGAGGATCGACTATGTTTGGTTCTATTCGTACAAGTGTCCGGTCGTGACTAACTGGTTATCGGATTCACAATTCCAGTTATCGAATTTAGTCTTCGAAACAGAACTGATCCCCACAACAAAGTCTTTTTTCCGAGGTGTTCCAACACTGAGTTTTCTGCTTTTTTGCGATATGTTAACTCACTGGTAATTGCGCCAACGAACGTATGTCCAAAAAAATTGAGTCGACTGAATTTCGGTCTATTTTCAGAATATATAGTTTTCGTGTCAAAATACCTTTAAATAAAAAGGTTGATTTTTTTGGACATACGTTCATTAACACGATTACCAGTGAACTGAAATGCGGAGAGTTGCTTCACAATCGCGATGAAAACTTCACTATATGCAAGTAGCGCACCGTGCAACCCACTGCAAAAAGGTCCTTTTCATCGTACCCTCCAACTATACAAGCCAAAGTGCAGTTGGTGTGTCCGCGGCCATGCATGGGATGGGGTATGTCACAGGGCCGTGGAAAGGTCGTCCGGGGAGAGACGGCGAAGGTCATGGCTAATGCGGCACCGCGGTGGCGGTAGCATGCATGTACCCGTAACGCTGCCCCCTGAAGCATTACATGAACCACCGCGTACGCCAAAGAGACGGGAGGAACGCCGCGGTGTGCCGGACAAGCGTCGCCCCCCGCGGCGTGCCTGTCCCGCCTTAACGAGCGAGCCGCCACCCTCCCGGGACAGACGATATCGCCAAAATTCAGGCATCCTCGGCGTCCCCTCTTGCCGCGCCTGAAGGCACCACAGCGTACCCTTCGCCTCCAATCGACTCGCCCGAGACAGACACAGCCGCGCGTGCATAGCACGCCGGGAGGACGACGTGGCGCGGCGGCAGGCAGAGGTACTCCCTCCCCAGTCCGGCTCGGCTGGCGCCGCTCGCGAGGCTGCTCGCTCCAGGGCTCGCCTGCCCGCCTGCCCGGCCGCCTGATCGAACAAATAAAACCCCTCCCCTCCCAGCGCCACCCGTCTCGGGATCAGCCACATTGGTCCAACGGTCCCCCGCTAGCCGAGCAGCCAAGGCGACTCTCTCGGAGCACCCCTCTCCAGCTCTGGCGGCGAAAGTGTATAGACGTCGCGGAACGTCGGACGATACTTCTCTACTTGCTTTTCGTCTCGCGGTTCGAGGCACGATACAGTAGTCGTCTTTATCACCCTTCGCTACTCGGAACAGTGCACACTAATCACCTTGTAGGTTATAGTCATATCGAATCGATGTTACTTGAGGTGACGTGATCTATGAGCTAGCTTATATGTACGGGTAGTTTGTTTTGCCACGAAGAATGTTGCAGAGTTACAATTTTTTTTCGTACAAGTTCTTAGGACACCACGTTTGGACTTATTATTGGAATTAATCGACAAGCATAAATGGCCAGTTATAAACTTTTAATAACAACCGCAACTTTGTAACATCAATTGTAAATCTTAAACTGCCAAAAGGATTGTTAATTTCAATTAACAAACGTGTTTTTAAGTGACAGGGAACTTCTGTATTTCTGTACACATTTACAATTTGTTGAATTATTTCGTGTACTAACCCGTACGTTTAGTTGATTGCATATAAACAACAAAATAAATAAAAAACATTTTTCTGATTGTGGTAAAGACAGTCTTGGGGACTGTCCGCCATAGCCTGGCTGAGCCACCTGCACACACGCTTCCGCCCGCCTGGCTGGGCTCAGAGACCTGGCAGTCCGCACCCCCGCTACCGGGCCGTCATTAGGAACGCGACCCAGCGCAGCAGCCAGAACTCTTACTGGCTCTCTTCTGCCTTTCTGCCTTGTTATTCTTTTTCCCTTTGCCTCTTTCACGAGGCCAAAATGCTGGCGGCGGCTTTTTATTTTCTCTCCCGCTGATTGAACTTGTTATTCGTTCGTTGAAGTTAGAGATGCGGCTGGTCAGTTTTGTCCGCGTGCGCCGGTCTGATTCGCTTCTCGCTGAGCTGCCAGGCCCAATCATTCGTCGATACGGTCCAAGGGTGTCCACTCGGGCGGGTAATAGTCGGGTCACTCGTTTGGTAATAGTTTTGGTAATACAGGTAAAAGTCAAGTTATAAGTAATATGTAATAGTCGCCAAAATAGGATTTTGGGGTGTAAAACTTCGATTTGATGGAAAATGTGTGATGAATCGTTTGGTTCTGGTTCTGATGCCGGTTCGTGTAACCACACCCTAAATGTCTGAGTGTTGAACACTGACCTGGGTCCAGCAACAGCCGTTACGAAGGGTCGAGGTATGAACGCAAGGGATACTGTTTGCGGGGGTATGTCCCCTCCCGGCTTTCCCGAGTTAATCCCTGCACCGATGCGGCCCACGGCAAATATGCCAAGGAGGGCGTTAGGATATCTGTTATATTCTGGCCAGTCGTACCTCCGCCCCCCCCCCCCATTATTGTTTTTACGTTTACAGTATTGTGCGATGACGTTACGAATTACGACACAAATGACACAGGTGACACAAGAATGTGTCACTTTTTCCGCGATTGGTTATTTTTAAATTTGTTTTAATGTACTTCGATTTTGGCAAAACCTGAGTCTGAATCCCCCCCTCTACCCCCTCCCCTCTCGCCCTCCGAGGTAAAACCTAGAGATCAGGAACATTTTTTTGTTTTTTTGTTTTTGGGGGACATTAGTGCTGCAAATGGTCTCACAATAATCTGGTGTCAAAATTCAATGGGGATTGGGTAATACAACAGGTAATAGAAATTTAAAAGAGGTGATAGTGCATAGTTCGGCTACGATTTTGGAGAGTGGAAACCTCCTCGATACGGTCCCTCAGTCATTATGTGATCGCACTGCCGGGGAACAGCGCCCGCTAGGTTCCGCTCGGCTCGGTCACATGCTGATCGCATCACACACTCGGCCGCGCGCCGCAGTGACGAGCTGTCGGGCCGGGCGGCCGGGGCGCATTCCTCGTGCAAAGTATTTGTCGCTCCAGAAGCCCTCGGCGCCCTCGGGCCTACGGTGGCGCCATCCACGCGTATCGCCGTGTTCTAGGGCCCGGGCTGTTGCTGTTACCACCCCGCAGCGAGGCTCTGGACAGGGGGCTCTGAAGCAGTGAACAGTGAAGATCATTGGAATGCATCAGGAATTCCCCCACCTCCCCTCGTTTCAAATGAGGGAAGGCCATCATGATGTGTATGGATATCACATATTCACTAAAAAAATCATCGTGAGTCTAAAATTACGAGACATTAAAACGTGAACAGAGTTTCGTCGCTTTAGAAGTACGGCTTGTGTTTTCATACTGCGCAACTTTGTACCTAACTGGGTGTATTGATCAAGACATTCTTCTCTTATGCTTAAGTTTGACTTATCAGTAAAAAGATCAGTGCGAATCGAAAATTAGGCCACCACTGTTTGGTTCGTTACTCGGTGGGGCACGTGGGCCGCGCCGCGAGCGACAAATTTGGTCACCCCATGCCTCCCTACTCATTGCACCTCCCCACTCATTACACGACAGTACAAGCATTCTGACACATTTTAGTGTCGCGTCATGTGTTCCTTTGTATAGATTAAAATGTTTGAAGGTTTTAAATGTATCATCTGCTAAAATGCTACAAGACTCTTTGGTATATTTAAAATTATAACAAATACATCCGTAAAATATCGATCAGTTTGTTTCTTTGGTTACTACACTAAAACAACACAGTCCCGAACATTAAAACTTTCGAAACAAAATATTGAAAAATGAATAGTTTGATTTTCACAACGAACAATTCGTACCCAAAGTTGACAATAATGCTCGTTACTTTCAAAGACGACCCATTTTTGTCAGTTACTATCGTGGAACGAGAAAATTAACAGTGTGTACTGTACATTCCAGTGACCGAGTGCTTAATTGTAATACCTCGCAACGCCCGCGACCCCACACGGCGTGGTCCCCGTGAGGTTCGTGAGTGGCTGGAGCTCGGCTCATTAAACGCGCCACGACCGCGCACTCCTCACTGTGCGCGCTCACGGTATTGGCCGTTTGCCCCCTTTACTGCGCCGCTCCGGTCGCAGAGTGTGGGGAGGGGTGGGGGGACTTCGTCGCTACGCAACGGGGGGTGTCCCCCGTACCGCCGCAACCCCAAAGCGGACCGCGAATGAACGAACGGCGAACCGCGCACCGCAGGTAGGACGGCGCGAAAGCCTGTTTACTTCTTACGGAACGTCAGAAGCGCGCCCATTAACTTACTCTAATGTGATGAGGCGACTTTTGTAGAGCGCCCTGATGTGACAATGCCCCCGACAGCGCCGCCCCAGCCTCCCACTCAGGAGCGCCTGACCGGAGCCCTATTGGGTATCGAGATGAATAGATGTGCTGGGGAGGGGCAGAGGGGCATCATCCCTTGCCTCTCGCCACACCCTCCAGGGACCTCGGCCGGGCCGCTACATTAGGGAGGCGGGGTGGGGCGGCCGGCCTTAGAGCCGCACCAGCAACAAGCAGCAAGAATACCCAACGGCATCATCCCAGCGGTCCAAAGTCAGCCGCAGCCGCTGCAAAGAGTTCCCCAGACAAGTTCAGCCGACCCATGCTCTTCCCCCATCCACTCCCCGCGGCCATCTCACCTGACAGCAACCCCGAATCTCCCCGCCGGAACACGACCTATTTTACTCCTGGCCTTTTTTCCCAATTTCCCTTAGCTTGGGCTGCTTGTTTCCCTGTGCTGTCAGAAAGAAGAGCCAGGCCAGTTTGGGTTAAGCCTTTTCCCCTCGTAGCGTGGCGTGTACCACTGTAATGCGCGGGTCTTTGTGCAGGGGCTCCCGAGGTTTCCGCTATGCACATCAACTCTAACTCGCACCCAGCCAAATGTCTACTCGACTGTTATCGGATCATTGCGCGCGTTTTGAGAACCGTGTGCTTGTCTGGAGAACATTTTTCTAAGGAGTAAGAGCAATGCACTCACGAAAATCGACTTCAGTGAGGTGCTAACAAGTCAGGTCCACTTTTTATCCCCAATGCGAGTCTCACAAGAATAATTATCGCTGATTATCATCTCCATGTGTATCGATTTAAGTACATTTAAGTTGCGAACGGGCTGTGCCGTACTTAATTGGGCTCACCTTAAAGGGTTGAGGATGGCGCGATGCCGGTCGATGGCGATGGCCGTGAGAGTGAACACACTGACCGTGACCGTGAGCACCTGCACGAACGGGCAGAAGGGGCACATGAAGTGCGGCAGTATCCAACGCTGCAGCAGTGCCGCCTGGAACTGAAATCAAAGCATAGCACTTAACCAACTTGTCACGGGGGAAACACGTTATTCCGAAAAATCGTCTTCAGCTTATTGCATCTCCAAAAAGACCAATGGCCCAATGGGTACGTGCCCCCCTACTCCGCTTTGTGCGACCACGCACGCCCCCCCCCCCTCCCTACCGCGCGTGTGGGTGGCGAGCAGGAGGCGTTCACGTTCTAGCGTCTCGCCTTGGCCAGACCACCGCCCGGCCCCGGAACTGAGTTCAACCACGTGGGCAGCAGGCCTTATTGTAGTCCCGTCAACTGTCACGTCACTTTCGCATGGCGTGGCCGTGCCAGCACGGTGCGGGGCTTCCTCTATGTTTTTTCGGCCACCCACTGTGGTAAAAACCCATAAACCGCTGGGGAGGAAAAAAAGTAGAACTGACAGGTGGGTCCTGGCGGCGGCTCAGCGCGTAGGGTGGCCTCGCGCCAACCCCAGCTCACATTCGGAGGTGCGGCCCGCCCTCAGGCCCGCCCAACCTCCTCAACACCCTTAATTATTATTTCATAGTGGCCCCTTGCGATCGGGCGCGCTGAACCTGTAGCGCCCAGCCTGTGAGATCGATTTGACGGTCACGATAACGACTGTACCTGCATGTCCGATGAACTTAGCGCGCCTCGCGCAGACGTGGGAAAGTTTCGTCGGAAAAGGGGAGCCTCGGCGGCAGCGCGAAGGGCGGCCGGGCCCGGCTTCCCCAGCTCGGAATAAGATTTATCGACGGGCCTGCAGCGCCCCGCCGCGCCGCGCGCACTGCAACAACGGGCGCCGCCGATCGATCCCAGTCTTACTTTTCCGTCACCACCGTCGTCTCGTTGGCGGTGGGTCCCCCGGGTGGTCGGCTGGCTGTCGGTGAGTCTGCCGCCAAGCCGCCCTCGTATGACGTCCCCTGGGTGGCAGCCCCGGCCCCTCAACCAGGACGAGAGGCTCTCCGACGCCGTCTTGCGTCGTTGTCGACGGGCACCTCGGCGCCATTAGCAACGCCCCTGTCAGCGACGTGCGTCACATCGCTCACTCCGGGGGAGCGACAGGCACACCGTAGTGGCAACGAGAAGGGGTTAGAAGTGTGAAGGGTGGTGCGCGGGGATAGACAGCGGAGAGGCGGAGACGGACCGCAAGAGCGCCGTTATGAGCGCGAAACGCGCGAGCCGTGCGCCCCAGGCCCTGGCGCCCCCTGGGGCCGCGCCTGAACTCACTCTGCGCACACACCCTCCTTCCATTTCTTTCCTATCTCATTCCTCAACCACTATCGCCTCCTTCCCATCATATCGGCCTCTTACCGCCCCCCCCCTCTCTACACGTACTGGCCGGGCCCCATGTGGTTGGGGTTCGCTCTGCGTGCGCTGTCGGCCTCGGCTCACACATTTAAAACCTTATTGCTAAGCAAAATCCTTAGCAATCGCAAAGCACTCGCTTTGTAGTTGCAATAATAATTGCAGTTGCAAAGGATTTGGCATTTTGCGTTGCAAGGTGTTAAACTGCGCGCTCGTATCAGCCTTGGATGGCGAATATTCGATATATCGACTCGTGTTCGTAGTGGCGAAGTGTTCATAACCATGTACTGCAAAATGCTTGCTAAAATAGGTTCGTACTGCAAACATTACCAAGAGTTTTGAAACATTTCCCTGCGAAACAGTTCTTTGCAAGCTAGCGAAGTTTTTCCAATCAAATTATTGTTTGCAACGAGTCTGACTGCTAGTACTGAATTATTTTGCAATACAGACTAATTCTTTGCAATAAGATCGAAATCTCTTCGTTACGTTGCATAGATTTATTTTGAAAACATTTTACGGTGCGGTGGGAATCATGAGGCGCTTCGGGATGTTAGTCTGAGAGAAACAGCAATAGGCTGGTGGCGCCGCCCACTTTTATGTCTATCGTGACAGTCGACTTCAGAGCACTGTGAAACTTTTCCTGGAAGTTTCTAAACAGCTCGAGGAATTTTGTTCTCGACAAAGTTTCGATAATTGCATAAACAATAACAAAACACAATTAATCTCTATTTCTTGATCAATACAATTTTCTCCAGGAAGGGTTGAGTGTCTTTTTTGTAACAGTCGGTTTACTGCAAGGGAGCTTAGAGGTGCGGTTCTATTTCATAGTTTAATTGGGTGAAGCCTTTCCTCGTTAAGGTTGGCATTCACTTGGGAGAGCGCCCCTCGCAGAGAATAACAGTCCGTCCGGCCTCTAAGTCTTGAATCCCCACCGCGGTGCGCAAGCAGCCAGGAACTGAGGGGCGCTTCTGAATGGTAGATTGGAGTGCCGTGCTACCTTTGATGAACTCCTGCACGCTGCTAAAAGCGGAAGAAGGCACTATAAACGCAAGAAGGCAGCCCGACGTCGCAGTTGCCTTTGCGGCCGCTTCGTGCCTCCGTAGCGGAGCAGTGTAATGCGGACCTGTGTGCGCCGCAGTGAGACTGGTAGGAAGACTCGCGCTTCCAACCGCCGCCCTAACCGCCGCCGAAGAGACATGTCCCCGCCGGGGACAGTGTGCTCCAGAAGTGCTCTCGTGTGGGGAGCTAGCTCCTGCTACCGGAGCGTGGCAGCCGAAAACTTGGAAGAGGGTGTGCCTGAACGCTTCCGTAGCGGTGTGCGCAGCTATGCATTATAGTCTCGCAAAGAGGAAGCAACACCCGTAGACCCGCAAAACTCGTGAACTTGCGTCATTATTATTTCTCTGAAGCCATAGGCGCGGTTTAAGATCTGGCTGGACATAAGGGGCGATGCACCGTTGGTTGCATGTTACTTACAGGGTGATTTACTCGGCGCAAATTGCCTACCCTTCAGGTGGCTCGCACCCTCCCACCGCGCCCTTAAAGCGCGCCAGCCCCGGCGACTGAGTGAGTGTGTGTGTGTGTAGCGAGACACGTGCAGTGGGTGGTGACTGCTGACATAACGGCACTGTATTTTACCGCTCCACGCGCGTGTGCTCCCACATGGTTTCATTTGCTCATTTTCATTTTTACAGACATTAGTCCCTGCTAGGTGAGGGGGTGAGGGCGGTTAAGCCGGGGATTTGGCTTCGGGTGTCAGGAAACCTACCGCAGAACGGGTCGCGCGGGGTGGGGGTTTGCAAGTGAAATAAAGTCGGGTTATTTCAGCTGGCCTCACCAGCGCGGACCACGCAACGGCTCCGGCAGCAGCGGGGTTGCCGTTGGGCGGGGGTGAAGAGCGGTATTCAGGACAGGCGGCTTTCGGCTTTTGTTTGTGGGTGGGGCCTAACGAAGACGAACGTCGTTAGCACATATGTTGTACGTGCACCTTTGTCTGCGCCTTCCCCCCCC